ACGAACCCGCGTCCACAGGCGATGCCACAACAGATGATGATATCGACTCCATGAAAAAAGGCCGCCCATGCAAAAGTACCTATCACAAGACTATCAACCAGTGTTGAAATATGTTCGCTTTCCTCAGCCGTGCTCAGAAATTTACTCACCAATAACAAAACCTCATATATGAATCCGGGTAGAAATACACAGAAATCAATGAAAATTTCCCAAAATATTGTCACCAACATATGTGTTTGATCATGTGCGTATTTCTCACACTGATAGCAACCATAGTAAACAAAAATCTGTCCGTTTTCCTCCGCTGAGTTCGGGAGTTCGATTATACAGGCTTAAACATACGAATTCGGGTAGAAGTGTACAGAGACCAATGAAAATTTACCAAAATTTCCTCAGAATTTTCACGACCATGCGCATATTTTCCCTCACACCACTGCTGCCCAGACTCACATCTCCTCCCGTTCCCCTTATCGGATCAAAATGCGGAGAAAATGTCGATACATGGATATTTCCATGTGCATCAAATGCAATCAGGCCAAGATTAGATTCTGAAACCAAACAACAAGGTGAAGAGCAACAATCTCTCCATACTTCACGCATGGGATTTCTTAAAACAAAACCAACGCTACATTCTCCAGTGTGGTAAAATTTTTACTTGATTAACCACATGTGTTAGTGACAATATGATGATTCTGAGAAAATTCTGGGAATTTTCTGCAGCTTTCTGTACACTTCTATTGGTGAGGAATTGGTGAGGAAGTTCCTGAGCTCAGCTGAGAAAAGGGAACACATGTTGGAATTCTGATATTCTCGATCAGTGCGTTTTCCTCAATAGGACTAGCCATTCAGCTAACTTCGAGAGTTTATCCCGTAATTTTCATACAGGTTTGCCACCCAAAATTTCCATTTTTATTATAATTCCGAGAGTAGAGAATGTGTGTTTTCTATTCCGGGATTAATGATAGTAAACACATCGTAGTCACCAGTATCAGAGCACATGTTCATTGCAATGTTTACATAGTAGATTCGGTATTTCTACGTGAAGTGGCGTAAAACTCGTTGAAAAAACGCGATATTCGCGCCATGCAGTGGTCGTGAAATATATTTTTAACTACTCTTCTTCACATCACGGCTGAAACTCCACTGTATACATACCACTCCCCGCACACTTACCCCTCACCGAAGTTGCTACTGCTACCACCGGAAGCGTCTGACTATAATGCGTCTTAGCCAAATAACTAATCGAGTTTGTGTGCTGTTGTTTATTATGCTTGAACCGTGCCTGACCACAGTCCTTGAATGCCACAAACATCGAACATTACTTTCAGTGTGGGAATATATGCTCATGGTCAACTACATGTGTTGCTAGGAATATGGAAATTTTGAGGAAATTTTGAACAACTATCGTTGATTTTTGTATACCTTTACCAAAAATCGTGAGAATTTTCATAATATAGTAAGGAAACCTACGAGCTCAGTTGAGGAAACCAGACATATATTGTCATACTGACTGCTTCCTTACAAATTGCAATCCCCGAATCGCGTCTCCAGCCAATATATAATTCTTCACCGTACATAAAGAGGTTATGCTTGGTCCCATCGTGTCCAGCCTGAAAAATCCGCCAGAAATGAGAGAATCGGTGATGCAGGGCGGGCGCGAAATGCAATTAATAACTTTCTGCTACTACCAAACTCTTCGCGTTTTTTTCACCGAGTATTACGCCACTTCACGTAAAACAAATGAACCTCCAATGTTGTACCACCCCTTCCCCAACTCACATCGCCATCCCTTCTAGTGTTTCCTTCTGAGCATTCCACCGATACACGAATATCCTAAACCCGATCGAGATCATCAACAGCCTCCTCCACGGTTTGATAGCAGTCACTGGTCCCCTTTTATCCAGATGTACTAATACCGAACATCCACTCTTGTCACTATCACCAGGGCCACCTGAAAATAAACAACCCAACATTTTAAATCATCTCAAAGACCAACAAACTGCATATGAAGTACAGTAAAATTGCAGTAAAAATTTTCAGAATTCAACAATTCCAACAATAGAGTTCCACCCGTGATATGAGAAGACGTAATCAACTACATGTGATGGAGACAACATGGGAACTTCGAGGAAAATTCTTGTTGGTTTCTGTATATTTCTAACCGAATTTTCGTGTAAACTTCTATAATTAGTGAGAAAACTGATAAGCTCAACTGAGGAGAGCAAACGTATATTCCAACGACAGAGCTTCACCCATGATATGAAAAACACCAGTAAAAGACATATTTGGAATCTCACTTCACGAAAAACGCATGCGAGCAGCGATTAACGCGACTATGTTTTCAATTCACTTCATATCGCGAATATCGCGTTTTTCACATCGAGTAAAACTCCACTGTATTACCCCATAGGATCAGCCAATGTGGGTAAGTACGCACATGGTCAACTTCAAATTTTGGTGACAATATGGAAATTCTGTCGACTCTGTACATTTCTACTCGGATTCATAAATAAACTCCTGAGAGCTTAGCTGAGGAAAGCGAATGTATATTCCTCCAACACTGATATCTCAACAACTCCATCATTGCACAAACAGACCCCTTTCCAGCCTACCTCCAGCAGCATCAGGCTCCTCCTCATCCAAGGCATTCTCACCCTTCTCCACAGCTCCCAGCGACGATGCCGCCTTGCTGGCCAACGCCGTCACTCGTAACTGAACTCCAACACATCCGTCACTCGCCACGAAATTCCCTCCACTACTACCAGCGTGAGTCCACCTCGAGCCGATCTATCTTCTCCGCCCTGTATAGCAGACCCAATCGCAACGACCGAGGTGGGGTCCATCAGGCCTATAGAAAAATGACATCATTTTCCGAATACGCGAATATCTCTATTATGTAAGTATACATTTATTGTTATCATTCTATGGTACAATACAATGCAGTTTCACCCGTTTAACGTGAAGTGGTGTAATACTCCATGTGAATAGCTTCCGCGGCTGACAATACAACTGTTTTCTGCAAAGTCGACTGTGAAATATGTTTTTCACTATTGTTTTTCATTTCACTTCGAGTGAAACTCCAATACAGTCTGGGAGTATATGTTAGCTTTCCTCAATTTAGTTCGTGAGTTCCATCACTACATTATGAAAATCTACAAACGACTTTGTAGGGTAGAAGCATACAAATACTGTCGATAATTT